AAAAACATTGATCCGTCGTGTTTCTGTAATGCTCTAGTCATTTAATTCCAAAACGTAGGTAGATACAGTAAGGTGTATTTTACCTTAACATTGATTAGGTAGGTACAGATCGCGGCTCAAGCTGTTTAGCTCTAACCTTATTGCGTCGTAATAGAAGCTATTTTAAAACAAATTCAACAGCTTGAGCCGTCTCCCTGCGTATTAATAATATCACGTCACATTCCTAAAGTATTTACAATGTATTTTTTAATTGTTTACATACGACTTGCCAAACACGAATTTTGACTTCTACCTAATCGTTATATTTTAATCTAGTTTCTAAACCGAATTTTACAATTTATACGCCGAAATATTTTAGGTACATAATTTTGAATTTTTTACATTAAATCGTTTCCAATCAATTGTTGTATAATTTACAAGTGTTCTCATTTGTACAATTTTTTTTAAACAAACCAATCACGACACTATCACAATAAGGATAGGAAATTTACAAAAGCGGGTAAAGTAAATAAGACTAGAATACAACAATTCGAATAAAGAACATGGTTGTTTACACATCCGTCAAAAATTTAAACATTTTATTCGAATATAATATAATGATTAGTACATAAAATTCATTAACCGAAAATTATTATTTTTGAAATTAAAAGTTGTTACAAATTGTATTAATATAAGATACATGTATTGTAACAACGCAAAGTGCCTTATGTGACATTACAGAGGCTAGGCATTTATATGCCTGTTATTATTAACATAGACAAAAAATGAATGCGCTGTTGGCCATTTTTTTTTATTACTATTTTATTTTTAATTTTATTTTCGTTTATATGCTGAAATATTGAGTGCAATTTTTCTGTCCGGTTACTAAATTATTTTGGTGGTTAGCGTTTTTGAAATGATCTAAAAATGTTCTCACCTCAAAATGGCTGTGACACGTTATTGAGCTTGGAGAGCCCTTATTAAAACATCAATATATATATCGCATTATCTATGACATTTAAGTACACGGATTTTTTTTGTATTTATGATTTTTTATTTCGTTGTTTACTACTTACGTAACATAGACTAAGCAATCATTTCGAATGTTATCAATCGATAAAAAAAAACTTAGTCTATGTTTCTAACGGACCCGTTTATAAAAAATACAGTTGTATTCGATATTTCCATTTGCGTAATTTTATAAAAGAGCCCCGTATTACATTACATTAATTATACTAACTTACAATATAAGATATATGTAACTACTGTGTGAGATATAAATTGAAAACCTGGCTATCCTGTCTACCCTTAAAATTACGAATAAACGTGTATATTTGACTAAATATTTCATAAAACAAGCCAATACAAACAACAAAAACGACAAAGCTTCAAAACAAAAATGAACTTTAACAGTCAATTAGGATGCTTAATTCAAATCAACAGCAAGTTATTATTAAAAACTTAACAATTAGTCACTACTCAGATTTTGAAGTGTTTTAGAATTGCAAAAGAGTGAAATATTATTTCAAACTTTTGCAATTCTCAAAAATATTTCGAAATCTTTGCAGTGATAATAACGTGAAATAAAGAATGTAATGTAATCGCAAGTGTTGTTATGCGAAATAATTTTGTAATCTAAAACTAAAGAGGCATTACGAATTTTAATTACGAATTACGGAATTGCTACAACTGCTTTAGTTTCCACCATTCCACCATCTGGATATTTCCTCTTGATGGCCGATGTTATATATGGCAAACACAGTTTTAAATTCCTTATTAGATATTTAATTTCCCGTTCTTACTAACTTGAGTTAAAGTAAGAACAAATTTCGAATTTATCGAAAGTCACCTCTCATTATATAGGTGATTTTTGTATTTAATTCTTTAGATTTGTCAAGAATTCAATTGTACAATTTCATTTAATTCTCAATTATTTAAATCAGCTTGAGATGTTTTTCTTACTTATTTCTATCTTCAAAACACAACGAATAAAACAATAATTGATTATCAAATATAAAAACAAAACGGCCAATTAAACTACAACATTACAAAGAGTGTCTCAACCATTTCTAAATAAGAACGGGCCAACAACGCATTGTTATAGTGAGAGTAGGCGGCGTCACTAACTAACGCAGGTTTAATTTTGACACAAACAGAATCCAGTACTATTGATACTAAAAACGAACTTAAAGAAAAATCTTATTGTTTGAATTGAAACTATAAAGTTTTTCCTTAAGTTCGTTCCTGTGCGACGCTGTAATCGCTATTTTATTATTAGTTAGGCTTTATTAAAGTATTAAATGTACACAGCTTATCTAAGAATTTTGTATCATAAAATAAATGTAGAAAAAATTTTACTTTTGTAATTTTTCCTTCAACGTTAAAAAATTTAACCGTCAAAAACTTAAAAGTAACCTCTGACAACTTTCAGACACGATCTGTTATTTATATTAAATATTCCTTTTCGATGATCACAGAAAATACAATAACGTCTACATATCTGTGTGGCACAACTATAAAATGGTTTCCTATATCGTAATTTTGGTTTATTCAAAAAATCTTATAGTAAAATTTCGGTTTCGTCGAAAATAGTGTTATTTTTTTTACATATATTTTTACAACTAAGTATTTATGTGCCGCACTAGACATGTGGAAGTGACGTCATGAACACTTTCTTGGAAACGTAACTTTTGCTCTAAAAATCTAATGTAGGATACATGATCCGTGCTTTTTTCTTTTGTACAACTCGAAAATCGCTCGAGTCTAGTTCCCTAACACGATGGTTTATTAATTATAACTTTAAAAATACCAAACGTCCATAAAATTTTCCTTCTACTATGACCTAAAGTTAAAACAATACCATTTATACAATATTCATAGGAACTTCTTTTGTTGTTATATTAATTTATTTATATATTAAATTTATGAGGAGATTTTTTTTACATATATAGCGATCCATTATGTTTTTTATTGCGCTTAAAAACATTTTCTGTGTTTTTTCTTCTTCATTTTTTGTCAGTCGAATTTATTGGTTTTTGTATATTATCAAATATATCCACGTTTCCTAGAAAAATCAATATTCATCGGGTAACTCTTCGCGTCAATATAACTGGCCGTTTACACACCAAATCATATGAAAAATATGCCGAAAAGTTTTGTATTTTAAAAGGAAAATACGATAACGAGAAAAAAGAATTGAATAAAAACTCCTTTCCACAACCAAAGATCACGACGTAAATTATAACGATTTTTTGGGCTATTGCATTGTGATTTTTTCTCTATTTACATTGATATCGCTTAGCAGCAAGTCCGCACACTACATAAAGGGCACGCGTGTGCTTATTACTGTACCGGCGATACCAATATTAATTCAAGAACGAAATAATTACGTACGTTAAATCAGCTTACTATTACCTTACCTATTTTACGATTATACGTATAATAATTACAATTTGCGCGTACAGATTCGTGTAAATGCGATTTTGTACGCGCAATTTGTCACTTATTTATAATACATGATGATAATATTAAAAGAATTAATATTCTGCAACACTTGACATTCTTATTAGGAAATTGCAAAATTGCTTCCCGTGTTGTAACACGTAGCGGCAATTTTGCAATTTTGTGAACTACGAAACTATTGTAATGGCAACACTTCCAGCGTCGTGAACACTGTGCTATCTGTGCATTAAATATTTATTTTAAAGCGTTTCGCTTTATTATTAATCATTAGGAAATGATCATCGGGCTATTGTAGTGTGTTATTAATTTGAAATAAAAAATGATATAGGTATATGGGCTGTTTAAGTCTATTAACATTCGTGTTGTAAAGAATGCCTCGTGTTTGTATTAAACATCAGTTTTGTTGGTCGGAATATTAAAATATTTTCGACTGACGTCCAACTGGATAATTGTAAAGGTGTCTGTAATCGATATAGTGAAAAAATCGATATTTCATTGTAATCGCCTACGATCCATCTCAGTATACTTAAATATTTACAAACAAAATTACACGGCAGTCTTCTGAAAACATAAAATTCAATATATTTATTTACAACTCTACAAGATTTGTAAATAATTGCTTTATTACTTTGAAAAATAATAATAAATGTAAAATAATGATATACTTTATCTGTTATAAACAAAAGCGTCAACGTCGTGTAATATGCCTACTATATTATGTACAATTTTAGTACTAATATGGCATTTATTTTTTAAATTAATAATATAAATTAAAAGACAAGGCGGTAAATAATTCGAAAAAAAGAGAATAGAAATAATTTTGATTTTTAAAAATAGAATATTTGTGCGTTCTAAATGTGACTAGCATAAGACGTGTTATTGCGTGAGAAAAGTTAAACGATTTAAAATCATATACAATAAAGAAACACCTTAGATAAAACTTAATAATAGCAACTAAATATTGCAAGGATTTCGCTAAATGCGATATAAAAACGTGCTAAAAACAGTTTGGCACATCCAAAAGTTTGTACTAAGCTAAGAAATACGACGCTCTGTGGTAAGGCTAATAAAAATAAATATATCTCAATAATAAACACTCAATAATCAAACGAAATAACCTTTGAAGATTGCACTGAGTTATTTGTCACAGTTCTCTACATTTCTAATTACTTGTTCGGGCGAGTTTCTTGTTCCGATTTGTTCATTCAACTATATTAAGGTACCTTTTTGTAATTTATATATACAGAAAAAAGTCGTCTCCACTATACGTTCCCTATTTACAACAGTTATAACTATCTAAAATACGGCTATCATTAAACATTGTATAACTTTCGAACAGCTAAAAGTAAAATAAACGTTTTTTTTTTAAATTTCCGGCATTGTCAACTGTTGTAAGAAAACGTAATCGAAATTACTAATCAGAGGCGATTTCGTTTCGCTCCTAAAAATCAATCTAATTTTGCTTTCCGAAAATATAACTCGAATTAACATATCGATTTGTATACGAAATAGATTTTTTACTCAAACGAAATTGCATCGGATTAGTAATAGGTGAATTTTCATGGTTGAGGGTTTTGTTGTAGGTGGACTGCTTGTTGTGCGGCTTGTTGAGCTGCTTGCATATGTTGCTGCTGAGCTTGGGCCTGAGCCTGAGCTTGAGCCTGAGCCTGAGCTTGAGCTTGAGCCTGAGCCTGAGCTTGAGCCTGGGCTTGAGCTTGTGCTTGAGCCTGTGCCTGAGCAGCTTGCTGAGCAGCTACAGCTTGCTGGGCCGCCTGCTGGGCAACTTGTTGCGGTGAAGGTAGATTAAAGCCAAGCATTCTCGGATCGTGCAATCGCAACGCTTGCTCTAGTCTCTGTTCTTGTGCGATTCTGAACGCCTCCACGAGCTCGGGTGAGAGTTGGCCGCTTACGTCGTTAGTCTGTGCGGGAAAACCGCCGTTATGTCTAAGTGGACTAGTGGCGTCATTGCCGTGTGCCGCTGCCGCTTGGGAGACCGCCAATCTGAGCGCTTCAGCCTGGCTTCTTAGTAACGCTTCGGCTTGTTGCATTCTAAGCGCCGCTTCGTTCGGTGTGGGCGTTTCTGGTTGCTGCGGTGGTTCTCGTGCAAGTTGCTGTCTCATTGCCGACACTAAGTTTGCGGCTGCCACTTGCACTGCATTTGCTCCTTCTCCGGGTTGGGCCATCATGTTCGCTGCAGCCGCCGCTATGGCCGCCACTCTCTCGTCACCGTACGCTTGGTGTCCGTTATTGGATCTGAGTAAATCGGTGAGCTTGTTGACTGTTGCGCCCGCTTCCGACCCGGCCGATGAGGAAAGCCGCCCGTTAGATGAGGAATCTGAATGGGTTGGGGACGGTGGAGCCAGGTTTAGTAGGCCAGATCCGCCAGCGGAAGCGGAAACGGCAGCTAGGATATCTCGCTCTCTACGCTCAGCCGCTGCCCGAGAGAGGACGTACTGGGCCGCGAACTGGTGTTTCGGTTCCATCCTCATGTGCTCCATGTGCGAGAGAAGTCCTGTAAATTTTTAATAGTGATTAACTATGCGTTCAATTTTATATTTATTTGTGATTTTTCATTTTTTTTGTGACAAAATCTTAATCACTGACAGCTGTGTATAGAAATAACATTTGTACGTGTTTTGTTGCCTCTAATGTACACGTAAAGCGGGGTCTTAGACAGTATCCTTACTCCCCGGCCAATGCAACAGATAATAACATACATTTTGAAAATACAAAATTATTTGAATATAATTTAATATTTTTACTGCCGAGTTTTCTATAGTAAAGTTATTTCCATTTGATAAGGGCGTGCTTCGGTGGTTTGGGCACGTTGAGCGAATGAGTGAAGACCGAATTGTGAAGAAAAGATATAGCGCGAAAGTTAATATTAAAAGGTGTCGAGGTAGACCGAGACTAACTTTCGAAGACCATGTGAGCAAATTGCTCGAAGAGGGTAGGGTCAAGAGTACTCGGATACCTAGACGTGCATGCATGAAGAAGATAATGAATCTGAAAGAAGCGAAAGAGGTTTGTAAGGATCGTGACACTTGGCGGTCTGTTCTCTCTGGCTACCCCGTCAGGGATTGTGCGTGAAGATAAGTTAATTTCCATACGTTTGAATACAGATTCAGATAACGCACTTAATCTCCATACATTCTAAGCCCCAGAAGTTAACAAGATGAAAGTAGAATCATTTGAAAGCTTGTGTATGTATAAACAATCCATAGCTGATAATCTGGTAAGATTTGTCAATCTGGTAGTTGAGTTATTGTACAATAAGTATAAGTTTGTATGTAGAAACAGACTATGTAAAATTTCAAGTATGAAATTACACTATAAAAGGCTGTTTTTCACAATAATTACTTAAAGATATAAAAAGAGGATCAGTACCTATAAAATCACTAAAGAAAAGCTGTGGTTATTAAGAAAACAAAATGGTGAAACGATTAACGAAAGTTAAAACAACAACAACTAATTGAACTGAATATTAGGCATTCAATCTGAGATTGATTACTTGAATTGTAGTTGTTACTGTTATTTGTTGGCATGTTCGAAATCCATAGAAAAGAGATAGTTTTTTGTATTTTACTATAGAAAAATATAGCAACTTTTTAAAAATATAAACTAGTTAGTTACTTTCAGGCATAAAAGTCTCATTCTCCTTTATAATATTAATATGTTTGCTAATAACTAAACGTCCATTAATTTCTTTAAAATTCGTGTAGAGCGCATTAAATAACGCACTAAAGTCCGAAATTTAAATATTTTAAATTGTGAAACTAAACCATCCAGGAACCTACTAAAATACTCACACAAAATTTCGTCAAAATTAGTCCAGTGGTTTATGAGGAGTTCAGTCACATACACACGGACAGAAGAATTATATAATATAAAAAGATTTATGTTGTATAAAACTAATTTTACGGGTTTTATCGCGTTTAATTTAACTTATTTTTAACTCCCGACATTTTGGCTGCTTTACAACACCCATCGTCATGGGGAAGGCTCCTCAAAATTCTTTGTTTATTGTTTATTTTAATGGCTAGTATTCGTGTAAATATAATAAAACATTCGTTTTGTTTATAATTTTTCATTGATATACTTTTTTTTAAAATGAGTAGCCAAATTAATAAGGTAATAGAGCAAGAACTTGTTCCGGAGTTCGACTTCATCATTCGACGATTGAAATAAGCCGCACCCAACAAAAATATTCAACTGGTAAGCTTAGAGTGTCTTTGAGTGTTAGTGTTGCTAGTTTGTTGGTATTTCTCTTTTTTTATATAAAAATACTTACCATTTTCATGTGTAAACACGGCCTGGCAAACAGAACATGGCCACATCCGGAGGCTGCTGGTCAGTTGCGTTTCTGGATGACAGGCGAGATGCTTCCTCAGGGAACCCTCATTGACGTAGTGCTTCCCGCAGACAGGACACGGGTGGTTTGCAGTACGCCGCTTCGCTATATAAGGATCAATTGGTTTAGCTTGCGCTGGGTACGGTGAAGTGGCGGGTGGACCTACCATTTTCACCAGGAATGGGAAGGTTAGTGGGTTAGAGGGGGAAAGAAAAAAAAAAGATTCGGTTAGTCATGTTAGTGAATAAACATTAAAAACTGACGACTTTTGGTCGAAATTTAATATGATTTTATTTTGTGACAAAGCTTAAAAAGTTGTCATCACATCACAAATCAACGAAAAGTCGCAGTTATTATGATAAACTAAGTGATAGAAATCGCAACATAAACAACTTCAAACGGAACAAAAACCACGGAGTAGATCAATTATAACACGGCGGCTGTAGTTTGTGAAACGTCGAAAACATTAGCTAAAAGATAAACAAAACATGTTATGATAATACAGTTGGAACTCCATCCGAAGAATCTGTCGTTCGTAGCAAGAAATGTTTGCAAAACACTCTACCCTTCTACTAGAACAATAACCGACGCTCCCTCGGATGGTTTCCTAGCTTACTCAATAAAGTTAAGGCTAAAATTTATGGAAACGATACGTTTTTGTTTTTACCGTTGATTTTAAAAACCAACACCCCTTATGGCTTTGCGCCAGCTGGAAGCTTTTATCTTTACAATGTAAAATAATTCTTTAAAAGTAACAAATGTTTCTCTGTCGCGACAGCATTTTAAGTGTTAAAACTTCCAGTGACGTGACTTACAGACTAATAAATCTCTTCTGTTTAGAGTGTAATATAAAACCTCTGATTACGAATTACATTTTATTTATCTTTGTAATTTAATAAAAAATAAAATATTTAGACACTGGTCACAAAAGAGATGCCTTACAGCTATTCTTAAAAATAAACACCTTCGACGCCATCTAAATAAATGTAAAAAAGAAACCTTATCTATACGAAATAGATTACATTCCTTTTTCAAATTTTGCAATACCGTATCCCGGCGGGATTGTAATTAAAAATCCGAACGTCCGTCGGGACACTTACTGGCAACGCCGGACGCGTTGGGATCCTTATGGGTGTTCTTCATATGTTCGACTAGGGCTTCGCCCCCGAATACGACTTTGTGGCATATCGGGCAGGGCGTTGCGGTCGCGCCGCCGATCATGAGGGCCGCGTGTTGCTGCAAAACACCAAGGTGCAGCTGAAGCTCCTGTTCAGCACCCGGTGGCGATGCGGGCATAGCAGTGTAAAGATTAGCATACATCCATAATAAAAACACAAAAAAAGAAGTAGTCGAAAAGGAATTTTGGTAAATTAAGATAAATCGTTTTGAAACTGAAGAAAAATTTGCCAAACAGAATTTTGTAGTAATAAAAAAATAGATAGATTTACGTTATACTTATAATTGTGGCACAGATAGAAATAAATTTAATATGCACATTATATACAGCTTACAAATTATTTATTATAAGAGTTTAGTTAAAATGGCTGTAGCGAAAATTCGATTTTTGAATTTAAATGTGCTGTCTGTTAGAATTCGATGTTTATATTTAAGCTTAAAAAATCAAAATTTAGGTAAATTTAGATTTAGTTAATATTAAATATAACATACATTAGATATTGCCGCCGATGTTCCGGCTAGCATTGTCCTCGATTTTCGGATTTCGCTCAGCTCCTTAATCATAGCATAATGAATTACAATAATTTTAATAAATATCAAATGCCAACAACACGAAAAGAGCTAGAAATGATTTGGTAAGTCACGAGCGGTATAATTTTTTTTTAAAGACATTTCATAATGCTATGGTAATTTTATGTAAATTAAATAATTTTATACTAATGTATTAGTGTTCACAATCCCTAATATAGTAATAAAATAGTGAATTGAATTATTTTTATTCCTATTTGAAGTTCTTTCATAAACGTTACACAGGTATAATGCTTTTTTTTTTCAAACTAACCCAGTATTTGTATCTTTGTCACTTTAATTACTTACTATACACGCTTAGGACTTGTGGCAACCTTAGGGAAGACCCTCAAGTATGTTCAACAGTGGACTAACGATTCCACTGTATAGAGGATGATTAGATTATTTATCGTGTAATAGATTCATCATCACATAATTTGTAAGAGTATCTTAAAAGAACAATATAAGCTATCGTATATCCCAAGGAATCCATTTCATTCCTATCAGGGCTTAGGTCTGTTTCTAGGTCCGCAGAATTTGAGAGTCAGAAAAAAGGTTACAATATTGAAAAAATCGATTACGATTTCGGTTCAATAACGAGAGATTCCACAATATAGTTTTCTTTTTTTTTTTACACAGAATTTTACAAGAAATTATTTTTTAATTATTTAACATTACAAATGAAACGAAAGCTCAAGCTGTTGCTGGGGTGTGCGAAGATGGAAAGACGAGCGTGATTTATGAAAGAAGGAATGGAAAACAAGCATTAGAATACAACAAGCAAACAAAACAAAACAAACACTATGGAGGGAGGGAAGACAGGCCTTTGCTCAGCAGTGGGACAGTATGATTTTATAATTTCACAAAACAATAACAAACTCATTGATCTGGGCCTAGGGGCCATTTCACTCAAATCCTATATACTACTATTTCCACCTTTGGCCTGTTGACGACCCAGCCACTGGTTCGAATTACGCAAGGAACATATGTGTTTGTTGATACTTAAACAAGTATCTGTTCTGGATTTGAATATGTGACTATATATAATTTATGTACCTACGTAAATCGATTCCACGATACAGAAGAAGTAGTGTCCTGATGAGGAGATTTTTATTTTACACAAAAAGAAAAAAAGGCGGTAGTCGTCGAATTTGGATGATGAAAGCGAATATTCTAACTCTCAAGCTTTCATGAATACTGACCTTTGCGGTGTGTGTACGTAGGCTGCTTTCGGTCGCAAAGCCCTTGCCACAGATGTTGCAATGGAAGGGGCGATTTTTGGCCCGCTCGACCTGCGCGTCGTGGTTCCGCAGATGCTGTTGCAGGTTCGATAGCTGGATGAAAGCCCGTCCGCAGTCCGGTAAATGGCATTTGTAGGGGCGTTCACCTGGAAATATTATAGGCAATTACGACATTTTCAAATTAAAAGTGCTGGGGGCTTATACCAACTTAAAACCCAAGGAATGCCACAAAGCACGGTCCTGAGCCACCTGTGTCCATCGACTTCCTGCATGTCTTACCAGGTCTTCACTCTTTCTAGTGGGGGGACGACCTACAATTCGTATACCGGTACAAGGCTGCCACTTGAGAACGACTAGTAGATTGACTTATCGTAATTTTATTCATTCATGATTTAACAGCATATCAAATGTCCACCTGAACATAGGCCTGAGACATGTTCAGCAGTAGACTTTTATAGGCTATAATGGATGGATGAATGTATGGAATGGATGAACATAGGTGACCCGCATAGGTTGTTTTATAGGAGAGATGGTGCAATAGTTACAATGCTTGAAAGCTGGGTTATCAACCGCAGTCTTATTTTTTTCAAGAAGATGCTGCAACACATCTCCTGTTTCATCTTCCCTCTGTCGCCTATTACGACACTCACGGGATCGCATGGGGTAGTGGATATTATATATTACTCCATTATTAAATAGCAAGCACGCCACCTAGTTTAACTTAATACGAATAGATTATGCCGTCAACTAACGAGGGCCTTGAAGCGTTTCTAACCTTTCCTACTGTCACCTCTTACAACAATTTTAACGAAGTAGGATAATGTGTACACTTTCTCTGTCATCACACAGCTTTATACAGAGTTTTATTACGTACCATACTAGACCATATAAGACCATAACAAGAGTATTGTTATTTTTTTTTATAGGATAGAGTGACAAACGAGCACACAGCCCACCTGATGGTAAGTGGTTACTGTGACCCATAAACATCTACATCTATCCTCAATAAAGATTCAAGATGCAGATGCGTTGTCACCCGTGAGGACTAAGATGGAATGCCTCTTTGCCAGTAAAAATGGTCTCCGGTTCCCTACACTCACCACACGAAACAGAGCAGCGTTAAGCTGCTATTTTACTCTAGTTTTCTGTGAGAGCGTGTTCCTTCCCCGGTCGAGCCGACCCATTCGTGCTACAACTATACTAATATAGCTGCAGCATGGCTCTACCACGTCAAAATTGTCTTATATATTTTATTCTATTACAGTAGGTACATATTTTTAGCGTTCTTTATAAACTTTTTAATCGTTAGTACTCCTTTTTTATAGGATAAGGGTGATAAACGAGCACACAGTCCCCCCGGTGGTAACTGGTTGCTGTGGCCTATAGACATTTAAATCTATCCTCGATTACGAATCAAAATACAGATGTGTTTTCCAACAAAAAGGGAATCCGGTTCTCTACACTCACCATGCTAATCACAGCAGCGTTAAACTGCTATTTTACGCTGCTATTCTGCGAGAGCGTGGCCTTCCCCGGTCGAGCCGATCCATACGTGCCACGACAATACTACTAATATAGCTGCAAGCTCTACCACGTAAAACTAGATTTTTAAATAAAATGAAAATATTTTTATATATAAATAAAGTGCCAATTAAGGAGACCATTGCATGTTTCAAAAACTTTTAATTGTAATAAAATATTCGATTTATTTGAGATCGAACGGATTATAAACATCACGTCACCGAATGTGTGTGTTCCCGAAACCGTCTGACCCGTATATGTGAGTGCCAAATAATGATTTCGCGACCTAACTCAACACGAAAGAAAGCGATGACCGAAGCACCATTTTAAAAATAAAACCATAATAAAGTGAACGCATACTTTTAGCCTGTACTGCAAGCAAATGCATAGGTCAATGCACCTACGCACACAGGCGATGTACCCACACTACAGAACGTATATCGTATAGGCTATCTTTTCTGCATAGTCCTTCCGTAAGCCAATGTGAGTGAATTTGCATGTGTGCGAAGAATGCGTACATACGCGTGCGTTTGTAAGGAAAGATATAGTAGAATTATTTCCTAGATTAGGGTAGCCATTTATGAAATGTTTAAAGTGGATATGGACGTTATGAGTTATATAATATTTTTATATAATATAAAAATGCCAAAATACTGTTATTTTTTTACCTTTTCACTGTTCATCATCATTACAACCTTTCAAAATTTCACTGTTGAACATAGGCCTTCCAAATAAACCTACCACAAAACACGGTCATGAGCCACCTGCATATATCGACTTCCTGCATTTCTTACCTAATGAAAGAATGAATAACAACAGTTCCTATAGTGTGTTTTCAAATTTTATCTTTATTCATTAATACTTAGGTAAATAGGTTTATAAGCACTAGATGTAAAAACTAAGAAATGGGCATTATTTTTTTAGCTCACTCAAATAAAATTTAAGTTAAGGATTGTAGAATATACTAATATATACCTTATATAGAATATACATAATTAAACAAATATAAAAACAATTAAAAATATTATAATTGACGTTTTTAAGTGTTATAAAAAAATTATAGTTAAATAAATAGGTTTCTTTTTTTAATTTCGATTTCAAATATTATTGTCGAACCGTAATTATTCGAACATTTACTATCATAGATTTTTTAAAGTATTACTGTAAAAGCCAGATATCTTATATTATTTAAATATTTACTCATGCATCCATAGAGTCAAATGCAAATGGAGACCCTATCTGAATGCAACCAGATAGATATATTGCCATCGCCTTCATTGATATAGCGAATCGCATAGAAATATTGCCATCCGCGTGGACTATAGTTAATCGGGCACTAACGGTACTATAGTCATATTTATTGATACTAAATATCGCCAGTTTTATTGGGCCAGTTGGGTAAAAGTGCGGCTAATATACGTTGCTCATTTTACTATCCATATTTCATGGGTGATTGCTGTCAATATTTGAATTTGAAAAAATACTTTCCCAGGTTCCCACTTTACAGCTTATTCTGGCCATTTCGTTTTACGAGTATATACTTAAACTTTTTAATTACGTAGATAAAAGTAAATATTTCTTATAAAATTTTATTTAATGACGATAGTTACAGTTCTGCAAACTAAAAGCTATTGTTAAATAGAATTACAGAAAGTTTGAATACTCCATCCACAGATCTCAATACGACATTATTCCAAAATGTCAACCAAACCATTTTAATGATATAGGGAATTATCTATTCCTAGCCATTATATTTTGCTATTCTTTTAGAAGTGTTCTGACTTGCACAGCTATTTTGAGAAATCTGCTGTCACCAGAGATTTAGAACTGACATTAGGTACTTACAGACCTTCAAAGAAACCTAAAGACCGCCATTCCTCCTGTTACAGACGTCCATAACGTATCATCAGATGATGAAATATGATTTTAAAACCTCTATCGTACAACTTTTTTTTATAGAATAAGGGTGACAAACGAACACACAGTCCACCTGATGGTAAGTGGTTGCTGTGGCCCATAGATATCTACATTCTCGATTACGGATCAAAATGCAGATGCGTTGACACCCGTGAGGAATAAGATGGAATGCCTCGTTTCCAGTAAAAAGGGTCTCCGGTTCTCTACACTCACCATACGAAACAGCAGCGTTAAGCTGATATTTGACGCTGGTATTCTCTAACCTATTTACCTACAACTATACCAGTAATATAGCTGCAGCATGCTGCATGCACGTTTTTTACATGGTAGAGCCATGGCTCTACCATGTGAATGTTAGTTTATTTCTGCAAGGTCTAATTCGTCTTAATTTACTTATTAATCGTAAATCTTATGCATTCGTCATCTAATGATCCGAGTACTCCGTCGTTGTAAATTACCATGTATTCACAACATGTATAATTCCGCTGCGAACTCCACTTTTCAAAAGATAATAGCATCTTTGAAACGCATTTATGCGTTTATGTGAATTAATGCTTTGATTCGAAAAATAAAATGAACCTTAGACGTTGCAAAGCAGTTTGATTACTGTTCTTAAAAATGACAGTATCCTAATAATTAAAGTAGTACAACACTAAAAAGTAGTGGGTTCGAATCCGCCATTCGACTAGTGTCGTAAAATGGTGGTCTGGTAAATTCGCTTTAAATAAATTGCGTTATATGTATTATTCTTATACTTACAGCGTAAAATAAAAATAAAAAAGGTAACAAGTGGTGAAATAAAAATATTATACAACCGACTTTAATACAAATAAAATAAGAACATCGTCAATGTATTCGAAGTCAATTAAATACGCATTATTAAAGATAACTCAAAAACTTCTGATCTGATCGTGATCAAATTTATATGGGACCATATGGGCACTTTCAAATAAGAAAGAACCATAAAAATCGGTTCACTTAGAAAAAAGTTGTAGGGTAACACGTAAAAAAATAGAGTCGCATTGAGAACTCCTTTTTTGAAGTCACTTAAAAAGTATAGTTCTTCTTCAAATAAACCAAGTACCAATAGTACATTGTGTGAAATTATTTTATTTTTATATAGGATAGGGTGACAAAGGAGCACACAGTTTACCTGATGGTAAGTGGTTGCTGTGACCCATAGACATCTACATTTATCCTCAATAAATAATCAAAATGCAGATGCGTCGTCACCCGTGCGTGAGGACTATGATGGAAAGCCTCTTTTCCACCAAAATGGTTGACTTATCATTTTCAAATAAAAGTCAAGATATCAGTATGGTGGAGACTTAGAAGAAACTGTCATCCCATCCTATTCCATTGGTGTTGTATAAGGTAACATAACGACAAGACAAGAAGATCTCGTATATATTGCAGGTATAATCAGACCGGCGACTAGAAGAATCATCAAGTTGCGGGACGTCCGTTACTGTGATCAACAATTTTGCGAATATGGCAAAAGTTTCTCTTATGAAAGAGGACCACGTTCAGCAATGACCTGCTACTAACTGATCAGAAGAAACTTTTTAATAATGTGTAATCAATAAGAGTTTTTTAATTTTTGCGCACGATGCAGCTTGTCTTAATTTTCCAAGATGATAATACCTAGTTAGGTAGATACTAGGTGTTATGATTTTGGAAAATTCTTTAACCATGTTAAAGGTTTATC